GCCTCAGGCCAGGGTACCAGCTATATACCTATCCTTTTGATCTAAGAACACAATTAGGCCAGCTACCATGCATGGTATCAGGAGGCAGCCTGCCTTGGCTCTGAGTCCTGTCTTCCATAGCCCTGAGAGGCTACATGGGGGTGGGGTGAAAGGTCTTTCTGACTGTGACCTATTTTTTCCTTTCTTGTGCTTTGAAAGGTTGCTGATGGTTTATTTAAGAGAAAGAGGAAAGAAGAATGTTCCCTGAATGCCAGGGAAATGTTTTCCTTTCAGCTTCTCATGGCAGAGCTTAGCCTTAAAAGGCGATGTGTGCTTGGCCTACAGGGCAGGGCCAAAAGCAGCCAGAACCAGGCAGAGGACAGGGCAGGGCACAACCCAGCCTTTAGGCTCCTGGCATAGCATAGGCTCCAAGGGAAACAGCACAGAAGTCTGTTAGGGCTGAAACTACAGAAAGAGGGTACTTCAAGGCCCCTGGCATGAGTTTTTGGGCCTTGCAGCACAGCAGTGTAGGCTTCAGCCTCTCTAATGGTTGTGCACAAGCCCCAGGAGGGCTCTGCCAATGTCTTTGGGCCATACCCACTCCCTGTCTTCCTCACTTCTCTGAATGCTTGTCTTCCACTACTGATGTGTGCTGAGTTCACCTATTATTCAGTCAGAAAGCAGAGACCCACCGCTCTAATAGCTAGATAGCAAGCCTGTAGTGTCCTTAACGGGTAGGTTTTCCTTGAGACTACCAAGTTATCTTCTGTCTTCTGTGTATCCTGTCCTGGAAACCAAGACTACAGAGCAGGGGACTGGTGAGGGCCAAGCTGTCAAACCATTTCCATGCTCTGTGGCTTGACCTGCAAACTAAAGGGAGTAAAAACAGGACAACTAGGAAGAGGGCTGGAACCAGCCATCACCATGGCTCCTGAGCACAGTTCAGGACCCATTCAGGGAGGATGTCCTATGAACAGCATCCTGCCCTTACTCCCACTCATAGTCATGAGGAAATTCCTCCAGGCAGAAGCTACTCCCCAACCTGGTAGGGAAAAATAGTTCCTGGAAGGCCTGCCTTCCTCTGTAATGGGCCACAGGGGCTTATGGTGAAATCAAAAGGCAGCAAGTAGATGCAATGCTAGACACCATCATGTGCACACCAGGCCCCAAGCCTTTCCCGTTTAAGTCATATCCCCATTTAGCTGCTGTCCTCATCAAATAGGGCCAACCTAAGTCATTGAGCATAGTGCAGTCTGGGACACTCTCCTGCCAACCTAAGTTTCTCAGTCCTAGTCACAGAGCCCTTACTCAGGCAAGAGGAACAAGAGGCAGCTCAGGGCTTATGTTCTACTTGAGGTCAGAATATGATAGTTGCTAGTGTAAAGCCCTCTGCAGGACATCAAAAGCCTCAAACTCCCAATTTCTTTCCTTTCCCTGGGGGAAGGAGGGCTTAGCCAGAGTACTAGACTCATCTAGAGGACCAGTTCTAGCTCCTTTGCCAGTGTCTCTGTTTTCACCTGGTAGGACGAGCAAACAAACATCTTCCCAGGCTCTGAGGCAAGCTGAAGAGACCATGTCATCAGTGGCTGGCCATGCCTGTATACTTGCCTGAGATCACAGGCACTTCCAGCTTCCCTTATACCATTCACCAGTTGTGACTCATGTGGAGGGAGGACTATGTAGACAAGGCCTTGAGCGGCAGCACAGAGACTGTAATACAGGGTCTAGGTCACAGAGCTGCTATGAGCTCCTGGGAAGACACCCCCAAAACAAAGGCCACAACAATGAGGAAGAGTGTGGTCCCCAATAAGCAAGGGTCCTACTCAAAAGTAAAATGCCTACTTTAGAAGCATCCAGGCTCTACTAGAATCACCTTCTTCTTGCCTCCCACACATCCACCTGGCCTTAACTTCCTTCTCCCTGCTTCAGTGTCTCTGCTGTCATAATGCTCTATCCGCCCTGCCCACACAGCAAATTCCCTTCCCCCTAGTTCTCTAAGATCCCATCTATCAAATGTCACATCTTCTATTCTAGCTGGCACATCCCGTAACACTGGACCCTTTGGTATCCGCAGCACCAGGTATAAGTCAATCCTGGTTGACAGTCTGATCTCTGAGGAGCAACAGAAATTTGCAGAATTAAAAAGAATCAATCTTTGTAATAAGAATGGTATCAAGCATGAGTCTGGGGTGGCTCTGGGTATTGTGGTGGGAGGCAGGCTGGATCCTGATCTTTCTGGAACCAGGATGGTAAGATACTATGTTGGCATCTGCTCTTGCCCTGCAGTAATGCTTAGCCCGCATCATCCCCACAAGTCCCAATTTGGAACTCCACCATGGGTTCCCTAGCCTCTGACCCAACATAGATGGCCCAACAAAGCAAAGAAAGCACTCTAGGAGAGGGATGCTCAGACTTGGAGGAGGCATTTGTGGCAAGTTAAGGAATAAAGGGCTTAAGAAAACTTAAGGCTGGTGGAGAGGGCCTCCAAGAGTGTTGAGGCAAAGTATATCACTCCAAGAAAGTAAAGAACGCTGAATATGGATATCTCAGGCCTCTAGAGAAAGAGAGAACACTCTTCCCACTCTGCCGCCTCAACAGTCCCAGCTGGGTTAACAGTGAGGGGCCAGATGGAGTATGAATTTAGCAATGAGGGACTAGAAGTTAACCTCTAGAGGCCGGGGGTTAACATTAAGGAAGGAGATGCTAACATTGAAGTGCTAGGGAACAGCACTGGAGAGATGAATATTAACAAACAGGGCTTATGGCAAACAGACAGGGGCATGAGGAGCTTAATGACATAAGCCCTCCCATACCAGGTCTGTAAAACACTACTATTCAGACAAAGTGCAGCTAGAAGCATACTTCTGGTCAGGACAAGTATCCATGCCAGTCTACTCAAAGCACTAACTTTAAGCATATAATGACCTCTTTTCCCATTACTGTAGAGCTCCTATGACAACAAGGCACAAGCTAGCATGGTCCTCACAACCCAGCCAAATACTCCCAGGCTCTCCCCAGCCCTTCAGCGAATGGGTACCCCCCACTGGACTGTGAGTATACTCACCCCTGGTTACCATCCCTTCTGCAGCATCTATCAGAGCCTAGGTCTCTGTGTGGTCTAAAAAGTTCTAATACTGGAAGCCCATAACTGGAACCTTACTAACTCCACTGTTTAATGCCTCAGAGGCCAAGATGGGAAGACCCCACCATCCCCATCTTATCCCTCAGCACCACTATACTACACAGGTTGAGCTGGTCAGAAGCAGTGGAGAGTGTCACTGGAGCTCTCTCTTAAGAGTATCTGTTACCCCAATCCAGAAAGGTGAGTACCCACAGGAAAGGCACATTTTCACCAATGCCCCTGACCCAATAAAAGACCCACTCAGCTGGAGAACAAGGCAGTAGGAGACAGATACATCAGAGCTGAGGTATGCCTACTAGACAGTACCCACTTATCCTCACTGAACTCAGTATGATCCTCAGGAGGGCCAAGCTAAGGTATCTTTCAATGGGACCTCCCTCAGTGTAGGCAGCTAGGAGTCACTGGCAGGTGAGTACCATTCTTTAGCTTCCCTAGAACTGATGTTGGTATCTGTTATCACAGATATGCAGAAATGCACACATAAGCATGTGTGTGGTCCTTTATGTACTGCCATCAATCACATTCCAAAGTAGAGCAGATGATGCTGCCACATTGCTGACATTCTTCCATAATTTCACATCTTTACATTGAAATCGACAAGTCCTGCTCTCCCCTGTGGACATACCCTGTCCAGATGCTCAGGTAATGATGCAGTTGCAATGGCCCAGAGGAGCAGGTAGGGTCAGAGGTGACCAGGGACAGACAGGTGCACAGAGACATACATCCTAGAACTCACTAGCCACTTGCAAGGGGCTATCACAGGCTGGATTCATGTCAAAGCCTCACCAAGAGTTGTGCTCTGGGAGTTCACAGTTAAAAGAGGCATTGGAAACTCAAATGCTATTTACTTTCATTTTAATTAATAATGGTCCTGTGGGGCATAGTGGCACACATCTTTAATCCTAGCACTCAGTAGGCAGAGGCAGCCTGGTCTACATAGTGAATTCCAAGAGAGCCAAGGCTACATGATGAGACTGTGTCTCAAAGAAAGAGAGAGAGAAGAGGGAAGGAAGAAGGAAAAGAAAAGGGGAGCGAGGGAAGGGAGAAGGAAAAGAAAAGGGGAGAGAGGGAGGAAGAAAGAAAGGAAGGAAGGAAGGAAGGAAGGAAGGAAGGAAGGAAGGAAGGAAAAGATGGATGACAGTGGCCCATTGAGTTAAAAGGCAAACACAAGATTCCTGCACTGAAGAAAAACTGACTAGACTCCAAAAGGCAGTGCCTCTTCCCTCATGGCTGAGAAGCACAGCCCCAAGTTGCTTTGAAATTGGCACCCTACCAGCAAGTCATGTACACCCATCCACTTCATTCCACACATATCACAGACTTGGAGAAAGAGCACCACGGCAGGTCAAGAAAGTCTAAAAGCATTCCTGGCAACACCCCAGTAGCAGCTAACATACGACAGGCACCTAGGATACACCATGTCACTTCTCTGGACATTCAAGGACAAGCTCCAGGACATCCTTGCCTTGGGTAGCCAGGGCCCATGCTCAAGAGACAGCCATTGCCCCCCCCCCCCAAAAAAAAAAAAAAAAAAAAACAAAAAAAAAACACACACACACATGAGCCCAGATACATTTGCTGGTGATAACAGCCATTCATTATACATCAGTCTCCCAAGAGAGCAAGATAGGACTCCTGTCTGACAGTCAAGGAGCACATAGCAAAGTTACAGTGCAGACGGCTGGCTGCTCCTGGGTAGCACGCAGTGAGCTCAGCTGTTAGACTGGCTAAGCTGCATCAATTACCCCAGCACGAAGGCCAAGGATGTCACACCCACCCATTGCAGGCCCAGCACAGCACAACAGGCTGCTTTACTGAGAAGGCAATCAGGCCACAGCCAACCACATCCCAGACAGACTGCCTTTGGTCAGGCTGTTACCTGAGCACTTTGCTGACGGCCTGAAGCACCATTTTGCAGTGAAGTCCAGTTTTGGTGGGGTGGCTGAGCAGTGTTCGCTCTGAAGGGAGACCACAGTGCTCTCCAAACATGATGTGGGGATTACAGAGCTGGTGAGGGAAAGTGGAGTCCAGGCAATGCAGCACTGGGCTCCTTCCCTCGGAAGTGCCCTCCGCCCTAGCTCTAGGCCAATGAGGATTGTGCAGAGACAAACAGCTGCTCCCTTTACACAGTAAGGGCCGCCCAGGCTGGGTGAAATAGGGGAGTGCCTGAACTGCTTTTTCAAAGTGGTGAAGAGCTGGCAGGGCAGGGTGGAGTCAGCTAGGCCAGAAGGGAGGAGACAGGGCAGACCCAGCAGTGGGAAGGGCCTATCAGAGAGGTCCAAGTCACACCTGGAGGCTCTCCCTTGCCACCAAAACCTAGGGCTGAACATGGCCCTGATGAATAAAGCCTGCAAACCAGCAGGCAGGTAAGGCTTCTTCATCAAGCACACTCAGGACAGGGATCAACAGGCCATTAGGGTTCCTGCAGAGTGCACATAAGCTACTGCTACTCTGCAAGTGGGTCTCAGGCAACCTTTTTGAAAGCAGTCAACAGGCTTCTGGATAGGGCTATTCCTCAGGCCTGCCAACCAGGACCACTGCCACTATGGGCTAGAGGCAGCAGAAGTATCTGGAACACCTTATGGGTACCCAAATTGTGTAGCCAAGGCCTTCTTTATGGGAGGCCATCAAGCTCAGAAAGCAAATACCTGTGAGTGGTAACTCCCATCCCATTTCACCCTGGGCTCCACTATAGTGTTAGAGTAGTCAACATGGACTGAAAGGGAGGTACTACCCCCATGCTCCACTATGGTTTGGGTGGGAATCAAGTTCCCATGTTTGTTCCTGTCAAACAAGAGATAAACACTGTAGAACTTCTCCACGCAGCAACAGATAGGAATTAGGCTTGAGTGTTAGACAGGGTCAGACAGAGGCAATGGGATGAAGAAAGAAGATGGTCCTCTCTTAACCTCCCACTAAGAGTCCTCACATGATTTGGCTCTGAGCCAGGAGTTCTGGCTCTCTTGGCTGGGCTGTCTACAAGATCTCCACCATACAGAGCCTCTCTCCTCTCAGGAAGGAAAAAGCTTGTTCAGCCACAGGTGAGCAGGTGAGTTCTGAGAAGCTTGGTCCTGCCCTTCTGGAAGATAGTCTGGTTACAACAAGCTGAGTCTTTGAAGAAAACTTCCTGGTAGTAGTATATAAAAAAAGAGCTGTATGTGTAAAGAAGCAGAAAAATACAAACTATGACGGGGGTGGGGGTGGGGGTAGAGCCAGTGCAAACAAATCCAGAGATGGCAATGACGCTGAGTAACTGAACTCCATAAGGTTATGTGTCAACTTTTAGAAGTCAAAAACAGTATTCAAACGAGCAAAAACACACAAACATGTAAGTCAAACTGTCACACTGTGAAATGAGACCCTAGTGACACTGAGAAGGCAGTGGCTAAAGAGCAGACTGAAGGCCAGAACCCAAAAGGGGTATCACTGGAGTGCAATGGGGTAAACAGAAAGAAGCTGGCCAAATGGTACAGGGTTTAAAGTCCTGGGAGGGATCAGGACAGAAAACCATCAAAAGATTTATTCAGGACATTGGTGTGATGCTCTCACAGGTTTCTCTGGTTGTGGTATATGCTAATGGAGTTAGATGGAGAAATCTGGGCTAGCAGCTTCTGCAAGTGTTGAGGCATGTGGGGTGGGAAGAAGCACTTGCCCAACATCCTCTGGAGCCAACACCAGGGCCTGACAGTGTGTGGTATGGATGATGGAAGAAATGGCATCCAGTACAGCTTCTAGCCACTTCAAATCTGCATCATTTTATTCTGTCTTACTATTAAGAATAACCTGAAGCTGGGAAATCTTAAAGAGAGGGCTTGTTTAATTTACAATTCTGAAGATCAGGGGACCCCAACTGGCAATTGCCAAAAACAACAACAACAACAACAAAAACACCTCAAATAGTCCCTCTTATTTTTATTACTTTAGGTGTGTGGGTGTTTGTCTGCATGTATGTCTGTACCACATGTATGTCTGGTACCTACAGAGACCAGAAGGCGGCACAGGATTCCCTGGAACTGGAGTTACAGATGGTTATGAGCTGCCTTATGAGTGCTGGAGCTCAAACTCCAGTCCTCTGGAAGAGCAACAAGTCCTCATAACCACCGAGCCAACTCTCCAGCTTTTTATCAACTGCCTTTTTGCTGACTGAATCCAAGGTGTTAATATGTGAAATTTCTCTAGCCCTAATCATAATCACCTTTGCCTTGAAGTCAACATTAGGCTCCTGGGATGGGAGGCACACTCAAACTGTATTCAGATCACAGCAGCACCTATTAGAATGGCTAAAATAAGGTGCTAATAAGAACATGGGAGCTGGAGAGATAGCTCAGTGGTTAAGAGCACTGACTGTTCTTCCAGAGGACCTGAGTTCAATTCCCAGCACCCACATGGCAGCTCACAACTGTGTTTAACTCGTGTTCTAGGGGATCCAACATCCTCACATAGACATACATGCAGTCAAACACCAATAAACATAAAAATAAGTTAATTTAAAAAAAAGAACATGGAACATTCCTTAATCATCATTGGAGGGAATCCAAAATGACCAACTAGTCCGACAAACAGTTCGAAGGTATTCTAAAAAGTTAAACATACAATTACCGTATGACTCAACCACTTCTCTCCTGAGCATGTGAACTAGAGAAATGAAAACTATGTCAAAACAAAGGTATGAAAAAGGTATGAAATAATTAAGTGGAAAAAGGAATGTGTCGGTAAGAAACAGTGGTAAGCCCCATCTTACACCCAGATGCATCAGAGAACCAAACACAAACAAAGCTTGGCAATGCCTCTGCCAAGCCCAGAGTGGGCAAGGCTTTTCAAACTATAAAGAGCACTAAATTTAAGAGAGAGAGAAAAAAAAAAAATGAATCGCACCAACATTTAAACAGACACAAACTTTTTTTTAATGCTACTAAAAAAGAACGTACTTGGGATGGAAAGATAGCTCAGTGGTTAAGAGCACTGAATGCTCTTCCAAAACACCTGGGTTCTATTCCTATCATTCATATGGCAGCTCACAAACATCTGAAACTCAGTTCTACGGTATCTGATACCCTCTTCTGGCTTCCACAGGTACCACGCACACATGTGGTACACAGACATACATGCAGGCAAAACATGCATATGCCTAAAAATCAATCATTAAATAAAAAAGAACAAAGTAGGAAGCCCACAGGCTGCACATACCTAACAAAACACTTGTATCTGCACTAAATACAGAAACCTACAACTCAATTATTTAAAGAAAAGACAATCCTGTTTGTTGTTGTTTTGTTTTTTGTTTTTGTTTCTTGAGACAGGGTTTCTCTGTGTAGCCTTGGCTGTCCTGGACTCCTTTTGTAAACCATGCTGCCCTTGAACTCACAGAGATCTGCCTGCCTTTGCACTCCCTGAGTGCTGGGATTACAGGCATGCACCAGTGCACCCGGCTGGCAATCTGTTTTCAAAAAGAGCTAAAAGCTGAAAAAGACATAGTACAAAGGCAGAGAATCATGCAGTGTTCTGGCTAGTTCTGTTGTCAACCTGGCATAAACTAAGATCATCTGGGAAGAGGGAATCGTAATTCAGAAAATCTCTCTACAGGATTAGCCTGTAGGACATTTTCTTGATTGATAATTGATATGAGAGGACACAGCCCATTGTGGGTGGTGGCACCTGGGTAGGTCCTGGATGGTATAAGAAATCAGGCAGCAAGCTACGAGGAGCAAATTAATGAGCAGCACTCCTCCATGGTCTCTGTAACAGTTCCTTCCTTGATTTCCTACCCTGACTTCCATGGATGATACTTGACTACAAGCTGTAAGATTAAAACAAAAAACAAACAAACAAACAAAAAATAAAACAACTCTTTCTTCCCCAAGTTGTTTTTGGTCATAATATTTTATTGCAGCAATAGAAACCCTAACTAAGACACAGGCCACTATGCATAAGAGAGTGCTTAGCAGGACTGGTTCCTGAGAAGTTCATGTTACACACAGATCTCCACTTCACTCCCATATCATGCTACCTGAGACAGAGTGGCTCCAGCCAAACAGAATGCAAATACATGACAAGATGGATAAAAGAGAGGGCACACAAAAAAGAAACACAACACGACAGGGACAGGAAATGGACTGATTAATTTGGGAAACAGTGGGTAGTTTCTTTTAAAATTATACCAAGCCAGTAATTCTACAGCTAAACACTAACAAGAGAAAAGAGAATTGTCTGTTCATATAGAGGTTTAAGCAAGAACATGGCAGCACTTAGAAAGCAAAAGCTGCTGAGCATGATGGCATATGCTTTTAATCTCAGCACTCAGAAAGGCAGAGACAGGCAGATTGCTGTGAGTTTGAGGCCAGCCTGGTCTACAAAGCAAGTCCAGGACAGCCAAGGCTACACAGAGAAACCCTGTCTCAAAAACAAACAAAAACAGATATGCGGCTGTAGTTGTGGGAGTACCCAAGCACCTCTGTACTGGATTGCCACTGGAAACACAAACTATGAGAGAATTCTTCTGGTCTCAAGATCCAGCTTTTCTCTGCCATCAAACAACTCAGCATGTAGACGTCAAAAAAAGCAATTTGGGCCTAGGACCAAATCCGCCTGACCCAGTCTGATGTGAGAAGCTACATGGGATCAGATATGGAGAGTACCTGATGGTAGAGAGGAAAGTACCACACAGCTGCAGGAAGTGAAACAATGAAAATGGGGTTGGAGAGGTGACTCAGCAGTTAAAAGCATTGTCTGCTCTTCCAAAAGTCCTGAGTTCAATTCCCAGCAACCACACAGTGGCTCATAACCACCTAAAATGAGATCTAGTGCCCTCCTGTGGTGTGTATGCATATATGCATGCTGAATACTATATAAATAATAAACCTTAAAAAAAGAAAAGAAAAAGCTCATTAAAAAGAAAAAGAAAACTTCAGTTTTCTGTGTGTGCACAGCTCAGATTCCACAATTAAGCAAGATCAGTTAAGAACATAGGGAACCATGGAGCTACAGGCACAGCAAGCACATCTTTCAAACCAAAGTCCGCAGAAGGAA